GTACCAATCGTGTGACACTGCCTCAAGAATTTCATCCAGAGTAATTCAGTAAGTATTGTGAAAATTACTCCCGGATACCGTGATTTGGGCCGAGTTTTATATACAAATAAATACCAATTTGATATGTGATTTTAGTTAAGTATGCAAATGAATTCAACTGTATACCAAGTATAAAAGCTTTATTTTCACTCTGTATTTTATATAAAAACCATAAAAATATTAATAAAAACTGTCAACGATCTTAATTAAAAATTCAAACTACCATTTTAATTTAAGAATTAGAAGTTTTATTGAAGATTAATACTTTGATACTTAAAATTTTTTTCATGATACTTTTGATCCATTTTAGGGAATTTTGGTGATACATTTCTTCTGAACGCCGCGGCAACACTGATGGTATAATGGAAATGCTACGAAGAAATACCAGATGTCTGTCCCCGGTATAAATGTATTGCAAACGAAAAATATCGATGTCAAAATACATTTCGTTCATTTGAATCTCTTTATTTTCTTACTGGAAAATAATGGTAGATTTTTAGTCTTTGGTGGTAAAAATAGTAGAAAATTAAATATAGCTAAAAAGTTACCTTCTTGTTTTAATACTATGTTGAAAAATTTCCTTTTTTTGGTTTTCCTCTAAATACATACATACATAAATATGATTGTTTCCATTAACAGAAATCTATTTGAATTAATCATAAGTTCATTTCGTGGTCAGATGAATTTCTTACAATACAAATTATTTTTCGTGTATGTATATCAAACAGGTCTGCAAGGTCTGTATAGATATAGAGTACGTATTACAAAATAAACCAACTAGTTATCGTCACCTGAAATGCAAAACGACGTAACAAACATCATCGTTGTAATGCAAAAAGTCATAACTAAAAAAAATTCAAAATTCACTTTTTGATTTATATGATGGATTTCATCGAATAAAACTCGCCACATCATTTTATGAAAAAAAATTAAAATATTAGTCACGACGTTTTCCATTTCATTTACGATGCTGTGACGTCTTTTTGCTTTTGCTAAGCTAAAAATAAAAAAAATATTAGTTTTTTGTTTCACCTGTAAAACGTCTTTGAAGTTAGTTAGCAGGTTTACACTCAAAGGCGACGATGTGTATGCTTCAAAACTTTCTAATAATTTTGCTTTAATCAAACTCTTTTATTTTTACACAGGATGGATTACACAAGCACGGAAATTAACGTGACAAGTGAGGATGAAACTGATAACTCTGGGTATGTAAATGTCTTTAATTTTTTTAATACTAAATTATCATTAAATTTCCAGCCAAATATTGGTCTTTGGCAAAAACAGATTGCGGACCCTGGATTTAAAAAATGTATTTTTTCCATGTAATCAGTTCCACCAAATATGCCTATACTTTAGTTTTTTTAATAAATTCGAGTGCTTACACACATGAACCGGCATGAACATTTCTGTACCGCTTCGTCTTTAAAAGAAAATATTGTATTCAATATTTCCTGGTTCCTAACTTCTGTATCTCTGTGGATGTAAAGTAAAGCTAATACGAAAGTAAGTCGTCGAGCTGTGTAGACGTGTTTTTTACCGCGCTCTTGTGAAAATCAATAAATTCATAATATGACCGACTCCTGCGGTAAATGTGAAAAGCGGTTTGCAAGAAATGACTCTAACATAGTGCCTTGTAGTGGATTTTGTAATCTGCGTTTCCATCGCTCCTGCTGTGAAGGCCAGGTCACTGACTATGATCTTGGATTGATTAATCTCAATCGCCATATTTGCTATTTGTGCTCTACGTGTATAAATACATCTAAGTCGATTTGATATTTATGTGCAGATAGAATTATTAAAAGCTGAAATAAATTCAACCACACAAAGCATCGCCGTTGGCAACAACAACGCTTCATGCATTAAAGCCTTAGCTGCCGAGCTAAATGCCATCAAAAGTGCTGTTGTGAGTTCTAGCGTTGTTGCTGTCGACAATGATAACAATTGTGAGAGTATAAGCCGTTTCTCTGCTGACGCTGTTTCCCAAAGTGCATCTCCGCTGCCCAATCCAACTGTTGCGCCAGCTGCTAATGGCAATGGAAAGCGAACAGTGACCAATGCGGCTCTCTCACCTGTTATGCCTGCGAAGCGTATGACTCCTAATGCTAATATTACTCGTACCTATGCCAATGTTACAAACATCAACGTTGTGCCTATGTCTTCTAATGCTGCGCATGAGTCGGCAACTATTAGCACGGATGCTGCTCATGTTTTCAATGTGCTGCCCGCTACGCCTGTTATTGACAAGAACGCCGATGTTGGGGTTGCTGGTGCTGCTACTGTTAATAACAATCATAGTGTTGGTGTTAAGGCACCTTTACCAAGTAATCGTGCACAGTGGTCCACAGTGGAGAAAAAAAAGCGTAAAAACTTAAATAAGAAGACTGTTTGGGGCGCTAATACAAATATAGAGTTGGAGGTTGCAGTTCGACACAAGTGGTTGCATTTATCTTCCTTCTCAAAATCAGTCACGGAGGATAATATTATTGACTATGTCGCAAAGCACTCAACTGTCAATAAAAATAGTATGTCTTGCTACAAGCTGGTAAAAAAAGGTACACCTGATGCTGACTTGAAAAGGATAAATTTCAAACTAGGTGTTCCTGAGTACTCATTTGACTCTATATTAAACTCAGACCTCTGGCCTGTCAATGTGGCCGTTCGTCCGTTTCGTTTTTTCGAGAAAACATTGCCCGATCATCATACAGCTTAGCGGAGCCGGCTTCTAATGACCGCAAATCTATTAAAATATACTTTCACAATGCTTCAGGTTTAAGAACCAAGTCAGAGGATATGCGCCTGCTGAGTTCGCAATTGGACTATGACGTATTTGTCATTATCGAGACATGGCTTAATGAAAAATTTTTCGATGCTGAGTTTTTTGATCTGAACCGCTATGACGTTTTCCGTAAGGATCGAGATGCCGTAAAAACTGGTTGCTGTAGAGGTGGGGGCGTGCTCATTGCCTCCCGTTGTGAACTTCAAGCGTCTTCAATAGCGTTAAAATGCACCGATTCCATGCTTGATCAGCTTTGTGTGCGCCTAAAAGGTGTCTCCGGATTGCTGTACCTTTGCGCATCTTATATTCCGCCAGCCAGTGAGGATCGCATTTATAGTGCTCATGTCGATAACATTATTGCTCTGCAATCGGAAATTAGTGCTCACCAGTTATGTGTTTTAGGGGACTTTAACCTTAGCAATATTTCGTGGTCCTATTTGCACAACAACATGTATTTAACTCCATCTAATATAAGCAGTAATACCGAGTCCTACTTAGTTGATAATTTATTAAGTATCGACTTAACACAAGTCAATGGGTTCTCCAATAGTCTAAATCGGATCTTAGACTTAATTTTTGTTAGCAATAACATTAAGTTTAAATTATATCTTCCCGTTACTGCAATTTCCCCGCCTAATATGCATCATTTTCCTTTAATATTGGAGATTGAGTTTTTTGAATACTTTTGCATTCCTAGAGATATGCAAAGTGTTTCCTTTAACTATGGCTCTTGTGACTTTGACTTTCTTGACCATACCTTCTCCTCTATTGATTGGAATGATGTTTTTGGGTCAGGCGATGTTGCTTTTTGTTTTAATGAATTCAGGAATATTATTTTTAATCTAAGTAAGATGTATATACCTATTCATGCCAAAATGTCTTACAAGCTACCTTGACACACGAGGGAGTTGAAGCGTCTTAAGAATCTAAGAAATAAGTTCTTTAAAAAGTTTAAGCAAACTAAGGACAGCACACACTTTGTTTCCTATACGAGTTACCGAGATCAGTTTAATACTCTCAATAAGTCCTGCTATAGGGGTTACATTGCCAATTTTGAAAGAAACATTAAAAGCAATCCGAAATGTTTCTGGAACTACATTAAGTCTATGAAGGGTGTATCTAACGTTCCCACCTCGGTTTATTATAAGAATGCTACTGCAGCCTCGTTATATGAGGCAGCTGACCTTTTTGCTGATTTTTTTGCCTCAAATTTTGTATCAGATGATGGGGTTGGTGAGCTAATTGCGGATAGTGACACTAACAATATGGAGTGTGCTTCCTTCGATGTAGGCTCTCTGATTCTCAAAGACGGAGATATTCTAGATGGTATTAAGAATCTCAAACATTCTTGTCATACAGACGAAGATGGCATGTCTGCTATTTTATTAAAGAAATGCGTTTCCTTAGTGGAACCCTTGAAATTTATCTTTAATAAATCGCTATCGTCTGGCATCTTTATTGAGGAATGGAAGCATACCTCCATCACGCCGATATTTAAAAGCGGTAATAAGAGTGATGTCAGCAACTACCGTCCGATCTCTAAGCTAACCACAGTTTCTAAGCTCTTCGAAGTTATAATAAAAAATAGGCTGTTTTATACTTTACCGCGGGTTATTTGCTCCAATCAGCATAGTTTTGTTGCAGGTAGATCCACTGTAACTAATCTTGCCGTTTTTACTGACGACTGTATTAAAAGTTTCATTGCAGGGTATCAAATGGATACAATATACACGGACTTTTCCAAGGCATTTGATAGAATTTCGCACACGATTTTAATTAGTAAACTTTCGCAGCTTGGGTTTCACTCGTCCATGCTTCAGTGGATAAAGACCTATCTATCACACAGAACTAGTTCTGTTGTTCTAGATGGCGCTTCTTCGAAGACCTTTTTGCTCACCTCTGGAGTTCCGCAAGGTAGTATATTGGGCCCATTGTTCTTCTTAATATTTATTAATGACATCGGGTCGTGCTTTGCTACCTCTAAGTATCTCTTATACGCAGATGATTTAAAAGTCTACTCAGTTATTAGATCTTATAATGACGCGCTTCTACTTCAAGCTGATCTTGACAGATTATTTTTGTGGTGTGCTAAGAATCGCTTATTTCTTAACATTAAAAAATGTAACCAAATCACGTTTTCAAAACAATCTACACCGCTATCCACATCATACCGTATTTCTGATACTAGATTGGAGTCTCTCAACGTAGTTAAGGACCTCGGAGTATTTTTCGATTCGAAATTTACCTTCATTACGCATGTCAATTATATCGT